CTATACACTAACAATGAGAAAACAGAAAGAGAAATGAAGGAAACAATACCATTCACCATTGCAACAAAAAGAATAAAATACTTAGGAGTATATCTACCTAAAGAAACAAAAGACCTATACATAGAAAACTATAAAACACTGATGAAAGAAATCAAAGAGGACACAAACAGATGGAGAAATATACCGTGTTCATGGATTGGAAGAATCAATATTGTCAAAATGGCTATACTACCCAAAGCAATCTACAGATTCAATGCAATCCCTATCAAACTACCAACGGTATTTTTCACAGAACTAGAACGAATAATTTCACAATTTGTATGGAAATACAAAAAACCTCGAATAGCCAAAGTAATCCTGAGAAAGAAGAATGGAACTGGAGGAATCAATCTGCCTGACTTCAGACGATACTACAAAGCCACAGTCATCAAGACAGTATGGTACTGGCACAAAGACAGAAATATAGATCAATGGAACAGAATAGAAAGCCTAGAGATAAACCCACGAACCTATGGTCACCTTATCTTTGACAAAGGAGGCAAGGATATACAATGGAAAAAAGACAACCTCTTTAACAAGTGGTGCTGGGAAAACTGGTCAACCACCTGTAAAAGAATGAAACTAGAACACTTTCTAACACCATACACAAAAATAAACTCAAAATGGATTAAAGATCTAAATGTAAGACCAGAAACTATAAAACTCCTAGAGGAGAACATAGGCAAAACACTCTCCGACATAAATCACAGCAGGATCCTCTATGACCCACATCCCAGAATTTTAGAAATAAAAGCAAAAATAAACAAATGGGACCTAATGAAACTTAAAAGCTTTTGCACAACAAAGGAAACTATAAGCAAGGTGAAAAGACAGCCCTCAGATTGGGAGAAAATAATAGTAAATGAAGCAACAGACAAAGGATTAATCTCAAAAATATACAAGCAACTCCTCCAGCTCAACTCCAGAAAAATAAATGACCCAATCAAAAAATGGGCCAAAGAACTGAACAGACATTTCTCCAAGGAAGACATACAGATGGCTAACAAACACATGAAAAGATGCTCAACATCACTCATTATCAGAGAAATGCAAATCAAAACCACAATGAGGTACCATTACACACCAGTCAGGATGGCTGCTATCCAAAAGTCTACAAGCAATAAATGCTGGAGAGGGTGTGGAGAAAAGGGAACCCTCTTACACTGTTGGTGGGAATGCAAATTAGTACAGCCACTATGGAAAACAGTGTGGAGATTTCTTAAAAAGCTGGAAATAGAACTGCCATATGACCCAGCAATCCCACTTCTGGGCATACACACTGAGGAAACCAGATCTGAAAGAGACACGTGCACCCCAATGTTCATCGCAGCACTGTTTATAATAGCCAGGACATGGAAGCAACCTAGATGCCCATCAGCAGATGAATGGATGAGGAAGCTGTGGTACATATACACCATGGAATATTACTCAGCCATTAAAAAGAATTCATTTGAATCAGTTCTAATGAGATGGATGAAACTGGAGCCCATTATACAGAGTGAAGTAAGCCAGAAAGATAAAAACCATTACAGTATACTAACACATATATATGGAATTTAGAAAGATGGTAACGATAACCCTATGTGCAAAACAGAAAAAGAGACTCCAATGTATAGAACAGACTTGTGGACTCTGGGAGAAGGCGAGGGTGGGATGTTTCAAGAGAACAGCATCGAAACACGTATATTATCTAGGGTGAAACAGATCACCAGCCCAGGTTGGGTGCATGAGACAAGTGCTCGGGCCTGGTGCACTGGGAAGACCCAGAGGGATTGGGTGGAGAGGGAGGTGGGAGGGGGGACTGGGATGGGGAATACATGTAAATCCATGGCTAATTCATTTCAATGGATGACAAAAACCACTACAATGATGTAAAGTAATTAGCCTCCAACTAATAAAAATAAATGAAAAAATAAATAAATAAATACTTAAAAAAAAAAAAACAAAAGCATCAATTCTTTGGTGCTCAGCTTTCTTTATAGTCCAACTCTCACATTCATACATGACTACTGGAAAAACTATAGCTTTGACTAGATGGACCTTCGTCGCCCAAGCCATGTCTCTGCTTTTTAATATGCTCTCTAGGTTGATCATAGCTTTTTTTTTCAAGGAGCAAGTGTCTTTTAATTTCATGGCTGCATGAAAATATATTTAAGTATAGTTGTGATAATAAACCTTACAACCATCCTGATTTGTTTGTAATCTGTCTGTGTTTTTAAGCATCGAAAACACATTTATGTTCGATTTGATATTTTAACGAAAAATCTATGAAAATTTGATTACAGATATTAAGGCCTTTAAAGTTTCAGTAACACTTAGCTAAGTTAATAAATTCTATTTTAATAGCTATGGAAGCAGTTGCTTAGTTCTGAGGAAATATTAAGTTTTATTGCATATAATTAGTAAGCATTCCCTTGGCATTTAACCAAGTACAAACAGATGTCTTCTCCACTCAGAGATGTCCTGTTAACAATAGACGCTACACACCAGATTTGGAGGAAACTACCAGTTAGGACATGTGTTCGTCAACTAATACATGCCCAGTGCCGCCTCCATGCAGATGCTCTTCAAGATGTTGAGGGTGCATCGGTGAACAAAGATCCGTGTCCTCGAGGCGCCTGTAGTTCAGTGCCTGCTCTACACTGGGGACACAATAGGGATAAGAGAGACCAGAACGCTCATCCCTGTGGAGTTTAAGTTTTCAGTGGCCAGAAAGAGACAACAGGTTGCTAAACAGAGTATGTAAAACAGGAAAGGGAAACAGGAGTGAGAGATCACCAGTCCTGTGTCCTGAGAATGCTTCATGGAGCCTTGCATTTGAGAGGAAATGTAAAGGGGAGGGAGCATTAGGGTTTGTTTTGTTTTTTCTTATTTATTTGCATTAATTATGTCTATTTAATAGCAGCAATTGTATACAGTTGTTTCACAACTTCCTTTTTTTTTCACTTACCACTTTTTTTCACTTACTAGACTACAAACATATATTGTTTACATCCCTATAAATGTAGATCTATACCATAATTACCAGGTCTCCTAAGTATTTAAACAGGTTCCTTGAAATGTTCAAATTATTTGGAGCTGTTTATCTGTGTCTTTCTCTTGCATTTCTCTTAAGCTGTCCACGTCTAAATGAGTGGGTTAAAGGTGTTGTGTATAAGAACTGTAATACACACCGGGCAGCAGGGAGCTTCTCTGCACTGGGATGTCCCAGATTCTGGGAAAAGCCCACCCTTCTATTGACCTTGGACTTGGAGAAGTCTCTGCCCTCTCTAGGCTGGTCCTGCTACTAATAGTGCATGCTCAGTTGCTCGGTCTTCTTCAGCTCTTGGCAACCCCATGGACTATGGCCCACCAGGCTCCTCTGTCCGTGGGATTCTCCAAGCAAGAATACTGAAGTGGATTGCCATGCCCTCCACCAGGAGATCTTCCCCACCCAGGGATCGAACCCAGGTCTCCTGCATCACCTGCATTTGCAGGTGGGTTCTTTGCCACTAGCACCACCTACTGCTAAGCTGAGAGAAAACCAGAAAAACGTGTCCTGCCTTCGCACTGGAGGTGTTTTCCTTCAGCCTCAAACAAGGAGGGAAATAAATACACGCCCCTAAGGAGCAGTTCAAGAGATGGAAAGGCAGTAAGAGAACTCACTGGCCACCCTGGCCCAGAAGCATCACCAGAATCAGGATGGTCCCTTGGTCTCCCTGTGCCCAGCAGTGTCCTGCCCAGGGGACCCCCGGGGTCCTGGGGGCCTGCTTGTTCAGGCTGGGCGTGGGCTCTGGCTGGGGACTGATTCCTGCTCCCTCCCTCCCTTGGCTGCACTGCTGGCCAGAGCCACTCTCTCGCCCCCCCGCTCTGTGTGCCGAGGTGGGGGTTCCAGGGCCGGCCAAGTCGATGGTCACAGATACTGTGGTCTGTCTTCATTGTCTGGGACACCAGCTCCAAGTGCAGGGACCCACTGTGAGTGGCGGGACACTCCAGGGAACCCAGGGTGGCCCGCTCAGTGGAGAACCCGGCAGGAAGATCCAAGCAGTCCACACTGTGGGGCTGCCGGGGCTAGCAGGCGGCCGGGACCTGGGTTTTGGTTTCCCGTGAAATGGTGGGATTCCCTGCCCCCATCAAGTAACCTGGAGCCAGCCAATCAATATGCGCCCAGTAAGAAACAAAGGGAGAGCTAAAAAGCCCGCGGAAGCCTAAGTTTAAACAAAAGCCCGTGAAAGTTTGTACCAATAAAATTCCTTTGCAAACATGTAACCAATCCGCTTAAGCCAGCTACTAACCGCTTATGCATACCTTATAAATTTGGGTAACCGCCTCTGCTCAGGGCTTTTCTGACCTTGCACCACTGTGTTGGTTGCAGCAGAAAGCCCTGGCTCGAGTCAGTAATAAAACTTCCCTTTTTGTAAATTGCATTGTCTTGGAACTTCTCTCTTCCCGCTCTGGGATTCGGACATCGGGCAAAACATTTGGGGGCTCGTCCGGGATCCCTTGACTGGGGAAAGAGAACACTTCCAGGACAGAGGGGAAGGATAGATAAAAACACCGGTGCTCAGGCAGACAGGAAAGTCCAGTGTAAATCCGAGGCCCTGCTGGGAAGCATGAAGGTATCTGGTGCAGAAGAAAGATTTCTATAAAGGGGCCAGCCGGCGTAAGGCCGAGGCCAGCGGACGCGCTGGGAGGCAGCCGACTCCGCGGGAAAACTTTCTATAAAGGGAGCGAGCCGGCGTAAGGCCGAGGCCAGCGGACGCGCTGGGAGGCAGCCGACTCTGCGGGAAGGCTTTGTATAAAGGGGGGAACGGATTAAACGTTCCAGCCGGCGTAAGGCCGAGGCCAGCGGACGCGCTGGGAGGCAGCCGATTCTGCGGGAAAAAAAGTTACCCCAAGTCTGGTGAACAGTGGACGCCATTCGGTAAGGTGAACCTGCTACCTGGAGGCAAAAATATTCAGGGGGCCCGAAACCCAGCGCTATGTTATCGGCCGACGTTTGTCTGTCTGTCTGTCTGTCTGTCTGTCTGTCTGCCTTCGGCTCTCCATGTTTGTGTATGCCGGCGTTGTCTCTGGTCCTCCTCCTTTTGAAATCTTTAAAAATGTTATTCATTTAAATTTTATATTGTAATATCTAAATTCATGAGCAAACTTAGAAAATGAAGATAGATCTTGCACTGTGTCTGTCTAAATATGTTTTGGTATGTCTTTATCTCTGAAAAATAGTTTTAGGTTAATTTGTAAATGAGCTCTATTTAATTGGCTTAAAAAGGGGTAAGCGCTTACAAATCAAATAATTCTAAATTAAACAATAAATTACAGGTTCCGGTGAACTGGGAAATATTCAGTATTAAATACCTGATATTAATGTTTATTTGTTGACCTATCTAATATAGACATGTCTTAGAGTAATTAACATCAAGTGAAATATTTTCATTGTACCTAGGTTTAATATAAGTTAAATATTATGCCTGTTACAGGCTTGTCGACAAAGAAATTACCTTGAGTAAAAAAGTTCTAAAAGGTATAAATGAGGTATGAGTTTGTATATAAACTCTATTAAAAATAATTATTCTTTAAGAATATCTGTTTAAAATAGTCTCTCCAGATTGGTGTAAATGAAATTTCTAAGGGTTGTGCTAAACTAAGTATTGAAAGTCTATTAAATAATTAGGTCATTTCCAAATGAAATAAGACTTTGAAACATTTACTACTAAACACTGATTTCCTTTTACAGAAAAACTAAAGAGATTTGGGACTATAAATGAATAATGTTTGATGCCATCCTAAAATGTTTTAAAAAAGCAAGGGTTTTAAAAATTATCACTGGTATTTATGCTCACCAATCTATTAAATGCTAATATAAAAGTTAGCTCTTGGTTGCTAAAGAAAAGCAAAAAGTGTGCTTTCAGTAAAAAAAAAAATATAAAAAATACTAAAAAGAGTTATGCATGATCAGGATTTTCTAAAATTAGATTACAATTAGTTAGATAAATGGATTTTGTTAGGAATGACACGTCATAAGAAAACTGGTTAGACCCAATTAGGTCCAAGATGGCAGAGCTGACTTTCACTCGACCTTGAGCCTTGGTATTTGCGCCCATTGTGACATATCAACAAGCTAAATGATACACCCATCAACACTGACTAAATCTGACCAAATGTTCTAGAGCTTTTAATTGATCTTTTTGATAAAACTTCCTGAATCGAATTCTTTTAAAGTTCCTTTGACATCTAGCTAACTTTGGGGTGTTTCAGAGGGCCCCTGAAACATCTCAAAGAGAGATACTAAACTGTTTATTTGGTTGGTTAAATTACATAAAAAGATTATCAAATGAGTAATAAATCTGCTCGTTATAATGTATAAAAAATTACTAATACAGATATCCTAGAAATTATATAGAGTTCTTAACATTTTGATATGTCTTGGTATTATGATTAAAAAAAAAAAGAGTTCACCTAGATTTGTTAGGCAAAATCTGTGATAAGCCTTTGGTGTGTTTCCCAGCCCTGTTTTATATTAAAAGTTCAGTCTGAGATCCTATAAGTGTTTCAGCAAAATAAAAAGTCTATGATCAATTCTGTTATGTGATATTAATGTAAAAGTTTGTTTCTGAAGCTTATCACAGTAATCTATCTTTGGATGAAGATCAGATGCCTCATGACCTGCAAACAGGACTGGAAAAAGACATAATTTAAGGGACTGTCTCCAACCTGGATGGAAGGACTTTTTATCAGGTACTCTTAATTAGCTCATGCACAAAGAAACTGAAGGAAAATTAACTCTTAGATTAATTCCCACTTCCAAAGGCCCCTACTGGATTAGTCTATAGAGAAGACCGTTAACCTGATCTCACCTTAAAATGATGCTCAAACGAGAGAAACTACACTAAACCAGGATGAGAAGACAACGACATCAGAGGTAGACAGACTGTTCAAGATGCTGGACCTGATTCGTATGATCGTTTATAGTGTTCTCTTGACTTAGACCTTTACATATAAATCAAATGCTTTTCTATCATAGGCTTGATACTATGCTGGTTTTAAAAATCAATCCAATTGTTGGGTTTGTGGCCAATTATCTGTGTCTAGCTCTGGGTTACCTTGGTAAGTTTCTCTACTACAAGACTAACTTGTTGGCCCTGAGGAAATTTACTTAAGAAAATTATAGTCATATTCAGGTTATTATGATACTACCAGATGGGCTCCCCTCACTGGGCCAATTAATAATGCCTACTCTGACTCTAGCCATAAATTTGAGCCTTTTTCTATTCCTCAAGCACAATCAGCAACAAGAAAAGTTAAAAAAAAAAAAAACTCCCACAATTATGAGATAGATTTATATAGATAACACCAGGCTATGGTAATTTAGGTTTAAAGTCTCCTCTGTGTTAAAAAACAGTTAAATCATACTAAAGATAATCAGTCTAGTAACACTAGAAAACTGGGCTGTGTGCCTTATAGATGGTGGTGCCAATGTATAATTTCCCTGAAAGATTAAGATTCGTACAGAGTAGACTAAGTCAGATGACCTGGGATATACTGGGCTACATCTAATGAAAGCTGTTAGGTCTTACTTGTGACTTTACTAATACTGCTGGCTATGTTCTTTGTATTTCACCTGTTTTACAAAATTGCTATTTCTTACAGTGCCAAATGTGTGACTGAGGCCTCTGATAAAATGATATATAGTTCCCTATGAGATCGATAACAATGACAATGTAACTCTAGATATGAGAAGAAGCAACAAGAGGGAATGTTTTCCTGGACCAAGAAGCTAGTAAGACAGGTGGTCCAGAGAATTTTAGATACTGTTTTATGGCCTAGTCCAGTAACTGCACATTGAGAGGCCGGTCGACAAAATCTTTGCCAAACCTGAAAAAAGACATTCTCAGCACCATGGGATAAAATGGTCATGAAATGCCCCCCTCAAAGTCGTGGTCAAGTTTGTGAGCAGAAAGGGGCTCTGCCAACTGAAGATTGACACTTGCCATCTACATCTACGGAGATTATATCATGGTCAGCAACTGCTGACTTTCAACGGCCCTGAAAGGAGTTCAGGGTGAAGATCAAGAATGAGGTGTTCCGTGCTCTGGGAAAAACTGCCAAAACTGGCCTTCAGATAGTTAGATCTTTTCAAGAGATTTTATGAGTCCCAATTCTTGCATCTTCTCATACCTAGAGAAACACTGACATCATTAATGGTGCCATCTGCTTTGGCTATTAAAAAAATTTTTTACAATTAAAAGTCAAAATAGAGCACTCAGCTATGGTTCAGACATCCTGAAAAATGAACAGATGTTACTATGGGTGTAATTTCAGATTAGACATTGTATTGCTAAACACTTGAGTTTTCTGAGTCGTGTCAGGCTTAGATGCCACCATTCTCAAAACAATGTCTGCTAAAAGCTAATAACTTCTACCTGACTTTTTATAAAACTAGACAACTGGCCACCTGGCTACAAGTCTCCCTGGAGTGCCAGGTCCAGACTGGGCTTCAGGCCGATTCTTCTAAAAAATTATATATATATACATAACAATGTCTTTTGAGTTCTTCTACAGAACTGGAGCCCCCAGGTGGAAGAGGGCAACTTCAGACTAAACATAAGATTCCTAAAACACAGCTCTGTTGCTTGACCATGAGCCAGTCATCCCAGCAGTGCCTTCTGTTTCCGGGGACCAGTGATGACCATCCTGTTATGTCTCCTGTTTGGCCCCTGTCTATTTTACCTCTGAGAGGTGCTGACAGTTTCAAACTAAGTTGCTGTTATTACAAGAGTAAAAGCTGGTTTCAGATATAGAACACCCCAACTTAGATCAGGTAGAGAGAGACTTCTGCTCTGCTAGGCAGGCCTACGCCCAGGCACAGCAGGAAGAAGTTACAGAAGAAAGAGACTTCCGCCCCAAATCCCAAAAAAAAGACATCTTGAAGATGAAGTCTCTCAAGAGAGAGTTGTTAAGAAAAACACACTGCCTGTCCGTCCACCTAATGTTACTCAGATCTCAATATTTGACTGTCCCCCCAGATGATATAAGAGACCCATGATTGGGCCTTCCATAGAAACAAAGACGGGGGGAATGTGGGGCTGCCGGGGCTAGCAGGCGGCCGGGACCTGGGTTTTGGTTTCCCGTGAAATGGTGGGATTCCCTGCCCCCATCAGGTAACCTGGAGCCAGCCAATCAATATGCGCCCAGTAAGAAACAAAGGGAGAGCTAAAAAGCCCGCGGATGCCTAAGTTTAAACAAAAGCCCGTGAAAGTTTGTACCAATAAAATTCCTTTGCAAACAATGTAACCAATCCGCTTAAGCCAGCTACTAACCGCTTATGCATACCTTATAAATTTGGGTAACCGCCTCTGCTCAGGGCTTTTCTGACCTTGCACCACTGTGTTGGTTGCAGCAGAAAGCCCTGGCTCGAGTCAGTAATAAAACTTCCCTTTTTGTAAATTGCATTGTCTTGGAACTTCTCTCTTCCCGCTCTGGGATTCGGACATCGGGCAAAACACACACATCACCCCCAATGCAGGTCCAGTGGAGAAAAACCCACACGCTCCACTTCCAAGCAATATTTTAGTGCTTACCAGACAACCAAAAACAGTGTAAAGAAAAGGGATAAAACTTTTTTTTTAAAGGGAGCACTGGGGTCTCAAGGCCAACTTTTGAATAACAGGAATTCTAAAAATCAAAAGGGGAAAAACGATGAACAAAATAATTTAAAAGTACTTCCCAAAGATTAAAATTAGGAAGGCCTAAATGTCTCAAAAACATCACTGGAAGCTAGGGAACAATGAAGGAAAGAATGAGATTTTGAGGGAAAATTTATTTCCACCCAAGAAACTATACAGCCAGATGTCCAATTAACTGGACATCTGGGAAGATAGAATGAAAATATTTTCAGACATGCTTTCTTCCTCAGGAAAATTGAGAGGGTAACAGGCAGGAAGGCCTCCAAATGGGAAAAAAGAAGCTGCAGGTGCCAGACATTTTTCTCTCTCTTAAGCGGCAGGAAGAAACAAACCAGCGATAAATCTTTCCTTCTCTATACAAATTTAAAAGGAGGATTCTCTTAAAGTGCTGTGTTGCCATGACACCTGGTCTCACCTGAAGCTAACTACTCTCAAACCTTGAGTTAACCAATACGTTTCTTTTTCGTATGGAAATGTTGTCTTAAGCTATGTTAATGAACCACAGACTCTATCGTCAAGTTGGTTCCTCCAAATGGCCTAATTTACTTACTCAGGTATTGTTCCCCTAATCTATGTAAATGAAACTATTTGTTGGTATTCTGCCCTTCTACAAGATTCAAGTCAATCGTTTTATGGCCAGGAATGAATTATCTGGTGTCATTCTAAATTTTATGACATTCTTTTCATTAATAGACTGTGAGTGACTATATAACATACAGCTAAAGACTAGGAGGGGGGTACTCTTTTGCCCCCTTCTGATGCCTATGTCAGAAGCTTTCTCTATCTCCTTTATACTTTAATAAAACTTTATTACACAAAAGCTCTGAGCGATCCAGCCTCGTCTCTGGCCCCGGATTGAATTCGTCTCCTCCGGAGGCCAAGAATCCCGAGTCTAATCATTCAGCAACAACCTTTCAAAATGATACAGGATTTGCTTCATCAAAATGTAAGGATGGCTCTCTCTGAAGAGAACTAAAATAACTAAACCATTGCCTCAAAGACCCTGTACTTGGTGAGGGGAAACCTGGGGTTCTCAAGGTGAATGCAGCCAGGGAACCCCATGTAGCCTGCAACAGAGTCCAAGTTCCTTAACTGACCTCCCCCACTTCCTCCAAACCCACCCACACCCTGGACACAGAAACACTCCCAAGTATTTCACCAAGGCTGGTAGTGAAGAGCATAGAAAAGGGTTAATCCTTGTGCTCTTGAAAATTCTAAAGCTAATATTTTAACCCAAACTGGACTCCAAAACCAGGAGACAATGAACAATAACTTAAAAACACATATTTCACATCTAGGTACAATATTCAAGTACTTTAGAATGAAGCAATCTATCTGGCAAGGACTCAGATGGCCATTGAGAATTACAAGGAATTGCAATATTATATCTAGAAACAGTATAGCAAGAAATTTGCCAGCTGTGAGGTTTCCAAGAGAACGCCTAAACTCTAAACCACCTTTCCCTTGGTTCCATGAAGTAAAACATTTCATTTCAAAAATTCACTTGAAACCTGTTTTTTATATTTTTTTGTTGCCCACTGCTTTTAAGGTCTACCTGAAAAATGTATTTCTCATTTAATTAACCCAGCACATTAGACACCACGGGACTTCCCTGGTGGCTCAGATGGGAAACTGTCTGCCTATAATGAGGGAGACAAGGGTTCAATCCCTGGATCAGGAAGACCTCCTGGAGAAGGAAATGGCAGCCCATTCCAGTATTCTTCCCGGAGAATTCCATGTAGAGGAGACTGGCAGGCTACAGTTCATGGGGTCACAGAGAGAGGGACACAACTGAGCAACTAACACTTTCACTTTCTGAATTACTAGTTCCTACAAATCAAACACACAAAACATTAATATATTGAATATAAATTAGTACTTCATCTTAAAGTCACACATATAAACCCATTCCTTAATTATATATTTTAAATTGGAATTGCAAAACCATCTAATATGTTAAATTATCTAAAATATTGTAGAAACATAAAACACCATGTATTGGGTTGGCGAAAAATGTCATTCAGATTTTTGCATAAGATATTACAGAAAAGCCAGATGATCTTTTTTGCTAACCGAATATATGGATTCCTTTCTTTTTTAAAACCACTTTGGAGATTCACTAAAGTAAAACAAACCGCTTATCCTTTATTTATTTCTTTTTGGCTTCAGTGCATCTTCATTGCTTCCTGTGGGGTTTCTCTAGTTGTGAGCAGCTCACAGACTCTAGAGCTGGGACGGGAGAGTTGCGGTGCAGGGCCTTAGCTGTATGTGGGATCTGCCTGCAGCGGGGATCAAACCCATGTCCCTGGCATTGGCAGGCAGACTCTTAACCACTAGAACACCAGGGAAGTCCTAAGCTGCTTATATTTAAATGTGTACAATTGGACCAAACTTGACATATAGACACATCCAGTGAAACCACCACTGGAATCAAGATAAGGCCCATTCCATCATCCCAACACTAGGAGGGCACCCTAGTGTCTCTTTCCAGTCCCTTCCCATTTTTACCCATCCCTAAGCAATCACGCCCTGACTTCCGTCACTATAGATTAGCTTGCATATTCTAGGATTTTACATAAATAAGAGGCTGTTTTTTAATACAAGGACTAACACTATGGTTTCAATTCTCTTAAACATTGCTATACCTGATTCTGAAACTTCAAAGAAGTAAAAGATCTCAAGACACATACACACACACATAGGTGACATAACATGCATAGAACTGACAGTACCCTTGTAAGCCAACTAAGGAATAAAAATATCATCCTAAAGCATTTTGATACTGGAAAGAGGCTGCACGCCAGAGATTTTCATAGGGATGCTTCCTGAACTGGATTCTTGTAGGTGAGACTGATGGGACCTCACATGTCAATTCCTAGTTGCTGTGTGAATGACTCCATAACCTCCAGAGAAGATGGCTCTGGAGCCCAGATCCTTGCGTTTCAGTTATATGCTCACTTAGCTGCTCTGCCTTCCCACAGAAGTTTCTAATTCTATCCCATGACCCCTTGGAATGGATTTTTGCCTTTCTTTGGCTCCGACATCATATTCAGCTTAGGTCTCAAGACTTTTAGACCCTGTCAGACACCTGTGAATTTCTCATGCACTTCTTTGGTCTCAGAACTCCCACGGAGCATACAAGAAGGAGCCTTCCTGAATCCTGAGGACCTCCAGGCACTGGATCTGAGCATGATACCCCAACTACTGATGAGAAGGGCTTCCCTGGTGGCTCAGTGGGTAAAGAGTCTGCCTGCAGTGCGGGAGGACTGAGTTCGATCCCTGGCTTGGGAAGATCCCCTAGAGAAGGAAATGGCAACCCACTCTAGTATTCTTGCCTGGAGAAGTCCATGGACAGAGGAGCCTGGTGGGCTACAGTCCATGGGGTCACAAAAAAGTCAGACACGACTGAGTGACTAAGGTATGACTGATGGGAAAGCTGTGTAGCTTCATCTTCCCGTGTAGTGGTTAATAGGTAATGCTTTAAACTGGATGAAAAAATCAAGACATGGAGGTACAATCGTGTTAGTTTCAAGGGATTTTCCTCTGGGGTCCAAACCACGTGGACAATGTTCTGTTGGGTATATTCAGCCATCTCTCAAAGGTTAAGGCAGAAGTTGGAAATTTAGTGGCATCTGGGGAGGGACAGGGTTCAGGAGGATGTGGGGGGGGGGTTACTTTGGCCTCTGAATACATTTTTCACTCCTTCAGATTTTTGTTTCTCTGATGTCTTTAATTAAATTTTTCCATTAAAAAGTTATTCCAACTTCTCACGAATGCTAAACTGGTCCCCTTAGAACTGTCTGAAATGCACCGTGTGCCTATGCAGTCACCAAGTTCCATCTAACGCTTTGTGACCCCATGGATTGTAGCCCACCAGGCTCCTCTGTCCATGGGATTCTCCAGGCAAGGATACTGGAGTGGGTTGTCATTCCTTTCCCCAGGGGATCTTGCCAACCCAAGGATCAAACCTGAGTCTCCCGCATTGCAGGCAGGTTTCTTATCGTCTGAGCCACCAAGAAATGCACCTGAAAGTGAAAGTCGCTCAGTAGGGTCCGACTCTGCGACCCATGGACTGTAGTCCATGGAATTCTCCAGGCTAGAATACTGGAGTGGGTAGCCTTTCCCTTCTCTATGGAATCTTCCCAACCCAGAGATGGAACCCAGGTCTCCGCATTGCAGGCGGATTCTTTACCAGCGGAGCCACCAGGGAAGCCTCCAAAAATGCACCTGGATCTCTGCAAATAGGGATTCGCGCCTCTGAAAGCGATCGTCCCGATGTGGGCTCTTTCCTAACATCTCAGGGACTGTCCCAGCCTCTCTGTGTCCACCGTTACGGCTTCCGCAGCTTTCCGGCCGTGGCCGCCCGCGGGGCGCGCGGATAAGAGGAAGACTCAAGCCCCGCTCGGGCGTGAGCTCCAGAGCAGCTGCGCCCGCGGGGAAGCTGCAGCAGCTGCGGGTTTGCGAGGCGAGGCCTCGAGCCAATGAGAAGTGCGCGGGGAGGGGCGGCGCTGGCCAAAAGCCCTTGAAGTGCGCGGGCGCGGGCTGCTTTTGCGGTGTACGGCGGGGTGGCCACAGCATGGCGGTTTCCGACGCTCGTTCAGCTGGAGCAGCGAGGGAAGCTCTTCGAGGTGCTTGGGAACCTCACCAAGCGGCCCTACTGGTTTCACTCCGAGTACCTGAGGAGCCCGAAGGCAGTTCACCTGGAGGCCTGGCTGGTGGAGGCGCTCTTCGGTGCGTGGGCCCGAGAGGGGAAGTCAAGGCCGTCGGCCGGCCCCGGGGTGGCCGCGTCCTCGGCAGGCCTCTCCGGCGGCCGGGGCTGCCCTCCAGCGCCCCTGCTGCCGCCTCCCCTCCCGCCCCCGCTGCTAACGATGTATTTGCCTCCCGTGCAGGCCGGGGTGGAGAACTCATCCCGCACGTCGAGTGTGTGTCACAGACCCTGCTTCACGTTCATCAGTGGGACCCGGACGGCGAGGCTGAAATCTTGATATTTGGCCGGCCTTATTACCAGCAGGATGTATCCAAGATGATCATGAATTTGGCTGACTATCACCATCAACTCCGGGCGCGAAGTACGCGGATGGGAACCATGACAGGCATCCTAGGCAGGCCCTGGGTTCTTGGGAGAGGTCCTGATGCTTCCCGGCTGTGCCTGGGGTAGCGGTCTCATCCTTTTAGTTCTCCTGGGAGAGGGTGTCCTCTTTGTAAGGGACCTAGAAGAGCGAACTGACGTCCTGTTTTCAGATTTCGGACCCCTAGCCCCGCAGCCCGAACGGATCACCCCGTTTGTGGGACGCATGGGACACAGGTGCGACTTCTCTCTTTGCTCTTTTTCCAGGCTGAGAAGGCTCCTGCCCGAGAGGCAGGGACCCAGCGGTCCCCCGACGCAGTCCGGGAGGCCGGGACCCAGCGGTCCCCCGACGCAGTCCGGGAGGCCGGGACCCAGCTGTCACCCGGGAAAGCCTGGGAAACGGGGACCCAGCGATCCCCCAGCGTTGCCCGCGAGGCGGCCACCCAGCGGTCCCCCGGCGCAGCCCGCGAGGCGGCCACCCAGCGGTCCCCCGGCGCAGCCCGAGAGGCCGGGACCCAGCGGTCCCCCGACGCAGTCCAGGAGGCCAGGACCCAGCGGTCCCCCGACGCAGTCCAGGAGGCCAGGACCCAGCGGTCCCCCGGCGCAGCCCGAGAGGCCGGGACCCAGCGGTCCCCCGACGCAGTCCAGGAGGCCGGGACCCAGCGATCCCCCAGCGCAGTCCAGGAGGCCGGGACCCAGCGATCCCCCGACGCAGCCCGCGAGGCGGCCACCCAGCGGTCCCCCGGCGCAGCCCGAGAGGCCGGGACCCAGCGGTCCCCCGGCGCAGCCCGCGAGGCGGCCACCCAGCGGTCCCCCGGCGCAGCCCGAGAGGCCGGGACCCAGCGGTCCCCCGGCGCAGCCCGCGAGGCGGCCACCCAGCGGTCCCCCGGCGCAGCCCGCGAGGCGACCACCCAGCGGTCCCCCGGCGCAGCCCGCGAGGCGGCGACCCAGCGGTCCCCCGGCGCAGCCCGCGAGGCGGCCACCCATTGTTCCCCCGGCGCAGTCCGGGAAGCCGGCACCCAGAGCTTCCTCGAAGTTACGCGGGATCCCAGTTTCTGAAGGCGCTCCGCGCTCAGGAGCGAGACCCAGGCAAGGTCCAAGTGAAAGCCCCTCCTGGAACCCTGTACTCCTAGGTCCCGTTCTGCTGCAGAAGCTGAGAAAAGAATGGTGTGGGTTTTTGATTTTTGATTTCCCTGGTCCCCGCCACTCCCTGTTAAAGATTTGCAAACATGAATCTAAAGAGTTCTAATAAAGAATCCAATTTCCCTAACGTCTGTTATTAATAACTGGCAGACGCGGAGGGAGAAGCACCTTCCTCCAGCAGCAGCTACTGCTCTGGACTGCTTTGGATCGAGGTGCACGCGTGCGAAGTCGCTTCAGTCGGGTCTGACTCTCTGCTATCCTGTGGACTGTAGCCTCCTCATTCCATGGGATTCTCTAGACAAGAATTCTAGAGGTGGTTGCTATGCTCTTCACCAGGGGATCTTCCCCACCCTGGGATCCAACCCGCGTCTCTGACGTCTCCCGATTGGCAGGCAGGTTCTTGACCGCCAGCGCCACCTGGGAGGCCCGCTACCCAACGCAGATGAGAGCTTTGTTTTCCACCCGCCCGGGGCCGCAATCTCTCCCGCCTCAGTCAGGGGCTTCCCCGGTGCTCCCTCACCGCGCGCGCCTGGCTTTGCAAGGTGAGGGACCTCCAGGGCCGGCGAGTCTGTCCTCATGGGAAAACTTTCCAAGCCTGCGATGTTTCTACTCAAAGTATCATGGGACGCGAAAATTTGGTTTCAACCCGGGACTCATGGCTGGGTGCAAGTGACTTACCAGCTTGAGCAACTGCTGGCTAGGAGGGAAAACTGAAAGGGCCAGGGCAATCCAGCGGTCTTCTCAAAGTCCTGCGCGGGTGAAGTCACTGAGACACAAGCAGTGCTGGTAACTATTCCCGACCAATTAGTAACCCCAGGAGTAGGGTGCTCTTTGTCACTTTAAGATTGAAACATACTTGACATGTAAATTCAAGGTGTGTAAATTTAAATTTACTGTGTAAGGTGTACAACACCTCTATCAATTTGGCTTCCTGTTCCTGCCTGACGACTGGGATGTTGGTCCCCTCACTAGAAGTAAACTGTTAAGAGCTGGATGTTAGGATTAAAAAAAAAAACACCAATCAAAGCATGAATCAATTTAGTGCTATGAAATTTTCATTTTAAAAATACAAGGAAACCCAGTTTTAAAGAGCAGGCAGTGGTATGTCTGTCGTAGACTCTCTAGTCACTGCTAATGACCACTCCAATTTAAAAGAAGCTTTTGGTTTATGAGGGAATAAAGATGCAAAGCTGAATTTACAAACAGGTTATCAACTATTTTCAGAAGAGCCAAGGGAAGCCTAGGCTGAGTGAGCCCTAAACATTTAAGACTTAATACAGACTGAAAGGTCCAATTGAGGCTACATCAGAGAAGAATTAAGACTCATTCTTGATCCCTCTCCTCTCCTCCCCTCCCGCTCTGAGTAGTACACACCTTTCAACAGTTTAACTTGCACTTTGCCTAATTGTATACACCTTTTTTCTCTTTCTAGCAGCTTGATTTTCCTGAGGATGGTTACAGTTTCATTTAGACCTCCCCTTAGTGGTCAATTAGTTTCCCAAATTACTCAATTACAAACCACTGTATTTAATTCCTACTTGCATCCTTCAGGCCTCCTAACTGGAGATCCACGAACGTCAGTGATCACAGCAGCACTATTGACAGTAGCCAAGATATGGAAGCAGCCCGAGTGTCCAACAACAGAAGAATGAATAAAGAAGATGTGGTACATACATACACAAAGATATATTACTGAGCCATAAGAATGAAATTGTCATTTCCAACAACATGGATGGACATAGAGTATTATGCTTAGTGAGTTAAGTCAGAGAAAAGCAAATGCTGTTATCACTTGTATATGGAATCTAAAAAATAAACTAATATATATAACAAAACAGAAATAGACTTACAGATATAGAGAACAAACTAGTGGTTACCAATGACGACGAGGTACGGGATGGGCAAGATAGGGGAATATAACCAAAAGGTACAAGCTACTGTGTATACAGTTAACAGGCACCAAGGGTCCCTCCTTGCGCAGCACAGGGACATAGAGCCGCTATTTTGTAATAACTTTACGTGGAGGATAAGCTGTGAAACTACTGAACCACTATGTTGTACATCTAAAACTAACGTAATACTTTAAGTCAATTCTACTTAAATTCTAAAAAGTTTTTTTTTAATCCTGAAAAATTCTGGAAACAGTGACTCTTGAACATTTCTGCAAGTAAAATGACTGAGGGTTAGTAAAGAGGTCAGCCTAAACAGGTTTTGAACAGGTTGACTAGAGGCACCAAAGAAAAGGGTTCACTGTTGACAGACTGGAAACTGCCTGAGCTAGTCATGGAGCTCACGTGACAGCCTGGCCAGGCCCTCCTGCCGCTCCACTTCGGCTGTGCGAGGTTGGCACTATTTCACTACTTCCCTTATCAGAATTCCTGAACTCCACACTTTGGATCAAAACAAGGCCTCTTAGGATATCACTATTAAGAATGGAAACAAAACATGTGCTTCCTGATGTGATGCACTGTGAAAGACACAGTATGATTTACCCAATACTTTTGCCAAAAATATATAACCTAGATCTAACCATGAGGAAGCACCAAAAAACAACAGGATTTGTGAGCAAGAAAACGATAAATGCAGATTGTTTGAGAACAGTGAATCCTGCTTGCCCACTTTAGGGTCAGTGTAAACAGGTTGGTAACGAATCATTTAGTGTGGAGGATGTCTTTCAGTGGGCTCACTAGAGCTATCAAAATTGACAATGTGAGCTGTTTATGGGTTCTCTGGAAATCTTGGGAATATAGCTATGGAGCATAAGTGGCAGGCTATTTCTGTTATGTCCACTTGTATGCTTCAGTTTAATATACATCTTCACTATTTAGAGCATCAGAATTTTTCACTAGACCCTAAGGAAAAACTTTATTACAGCCTTCTCGGGTCCTTCTGAAGCACATGTAAAATCAAGACTCTAAAAAAGGCTCTCATCTTATAGCCTCAGCACCTCAAACGGTGGTTGTGATTATAACTGGAATTGCACTGAGTTCTGAGAAGACTGACCACAAATGTGCAACCCTGGACTTTGCTAGCCAAGAACATAGTGTCTTCACTTATTCAGCTGTTTTTCCTTCCTCCTTCTACCCTTTTCATTAATGTGAAGCAGGATGTAATAAATTAATATTTTTATAATCCCTAAGGCAAAACAGAGGGGGAAAATCTCTTTAAAGTATTGTTAAAATGATAAATAAAAATTTATGTGACATAAAATAATGAAAGAGGAAAAGAACAAAAAAGACGTGATAGGAAACAAAGCAAAATGGCAGACAAATCCAATCATATTGATAATTACATTAAACTAGAATGGGCTAAATCCCACACTCAAAGAGCAGAAATATTCGCACAGCCGAAGTGGAGCGGCAGGAGGGCCTGGCCAGATGCAAAAGACTACACAGAATATTATTCTATCAATACTTAAATGTCCAGAAAATGTGACAGTGGAGACAGACAGCAGACTGCCTGGAGCTGGAGGCAGGAGTGACGACAGACTTTGTAAAGTGATGGAAAAGTTCCCAAGCTGGCCTGTGCTGATGGTGGCACAACTCACAAGTTTGTTAAAAAAGAAAGTAAACTGTACACTCACATTTTTATAGTATGTAACCAACTAAGTGCATCTTTAAAAATTGCAGTTCAATAGCACTAATACCTAAATTCTCTAAAATAAAAATTGTTGACAAAGATGGAGAGCAACTGGAAGTCTCATACATTGCTGAAAGGAATGGAAATTGGTTCAGTCACCTTGGCAACTTGAACTTACACACACGCTATCATTTAGCAATTTCAATCCTAGATATATACTCAATAAAAATGCACATATGTATGCACCAAGTTATGTACAATTTTCATAGTAGCCATATTTGTTGTAAGTTCAAACAGGGAACAATCAAAGTACATATCAACAGGATGGAAAACTGAAATTAAGGTTTATTGATACAATGGAACTATAA